CTTGCTGCTCATCCTCTGTCCTCACTGCTGAAGGTCTACCCTCCTACATCACAGGAATGCAGCCCCACAAGTTATCCCCAATGGATCTCGGGGGAGTGAGGAACAACAATACTCTTCCTTGGATGAAAGTTTCCTCTCGACAGCCAAGGAATGAACCACAGAAATGTTCTGCAGCAGCTCCTGAAGCTTTTTTTTCCAGCACCAGCTATTCTCCCTTCCCTACACAGTGGCTGAGAAGAGGTCAGGTAACTGTGGGTGCATTTTGCTGAGCTTCTGGGTTTCCATCTGTCTGCATAAGCAGAGAAATGGTGAAAATACTGTTTTGTGCTATCCCAAGCACATTAAGACAACTTGGGCAGTAAAAGCAATGTGCTGATGAGGGCTATTCTCAGCAACTAACCCTGTCGCATTCAGAAGGGGACGTGAAGAGTTTATACTAGAGGAATAAACAATCAAGAACATACTGCTGGAACAAAAGGTGCTAGAACAGGCAATCTGATCAGTGATCACAAAATTTCCATTGGAGTTACTCAACTTGAACATCAAGCACACTGGTGACTGCACACAGCTAAACAACCTAGCCACATTAGCAATCTACCTCTGGCTTACTTCAAAAGCCTTTACCTTTCTGCCAAATCCAAAACTCCCAAAACTATGAATTTTAAAATAAGTTCAGAAGTTGATAACACAGAAACATAATGCCTTGAAATAAGTCTGACTCTTGCAAACAAATCATTAAATGCATGACTAATTTTTCTACTTTACTAAAAAAATACTGGGCTCTTTCCCAGTACTGACTGAACATGACCAAATTTAATTCAATTATTTTTTTCTGTCTACAATAACTTGGAGCAAGAACAGTCATAACCCCAGATTTTGTTTTGTTCCAGACAGACAACCAGTAAAAAAAAATCCGGTGGTGCTAGAGGAATAAGCAATAGTATCTATAAAGCCTGAAAGTAAAATCAATGCTATTACAAACTATTGCAAAAATTTGCTTGCTGCATACAGTGTTATAATAATTGATGACAAGCCTTCTTAATAAGGAGTCCAGTCAGTTAAAGAACATACTGCACCAGTTCTTAAATATTGCATTATGGGCTTTCAGTAGCATGAAACAGGGGAGAAGATAGAGACAGTGCTGTTCAGTTCATGCATCTGGCAGACAGTATCAGGAGGCACAATGCACCTGAAACAGCCCTGCTTCAGCTGCTTATTCAAGCAGGCTGTTGTCTTTGGGATGCGCCTTGGCAGCCCCCTGTGCCCTTCAAGCTTCCACTGATCCGACCAGGCTTCAGAACCTGACCTACCACATGCCTCTTGGCAGGTTTCCTGGACACAAGCCCTCCCTCTATTAATTCTTTGCAGAAATGGTACCCTACAACCCTGCTTCCCTCATCCCTTCCTTCACCCACTGCTCCTGCCTGCTCTGTACAGAAGTCCATTGAACAGTTAAGAGGTCAGCAAGGCAAGCCTGGCTGAGTCCTGCCTTACAGGGAGGCTCCGGTCAGGAGTGCATGCTCAGGAGTTGGGGCTTACATTAACTGGGTTAAGCCAAGTGTACACCAACTGTACTGCTAAAATATTCATAGGTTTGTGATTATGTTACATAAAAAGAGATTGCACTTTGAGAAACTGGTGCTGTACATAGACTGCATCCACCCTCTTTCCCTCTGTCACCCAGTTGGCCATATGAGTGACAATGCACAGCAGCCTTCATTTACCTTCATATGAGGCTGACCAAGCCAGCTGAGGTAGAAGTACAGTCTTTCAGAGGCAGCATGAAGAAATTGATTTCATTCCTCTGATTTTCTACCAGTGGATCCACCAGACCAGGAGCAGTCCAGTTTTAAATGACTGCTGTCTCGACAGAAGATCTCATGGCAGTTCAACTGACAAATGCCTGACTCCATGCATCCTAACATACAACTGGTTTCACACTCACAGAATAATTCAGGTTGGAAGGGACCTCAGAAAGTTTCTAGGCCAACCTCCACTCAAGGCAAGGCCAGCTATGAGAACAGACCAGGTTGCTTAGGGCTTTAACCAGCTGGGTCTTGACCTCCAAGGATGATGACTGCACAGCTTCTCCAGGTCCTTGTTCTACTGCTTGACTGCCCACCCCCACCCCCCCTTAAAGCCTTCTCCTTACACTCCATTAAAACCTCATACTTCAATCTATGTCTGTTGCCTTGTCCCCTCCTGCCACACAACTGAACAGCCTAGCTCTATGTTCTTGATAAGATGTGGGTCTGCCAGGGCCAAGTAGAGAGGGTAATCACTTCCCTTGGTCTACTGGTTCTGCTCTTTTAACACAGCCCAGCATCTTATAGGCCTTCTTTACCGCAGGGACACACTGCTGACTCATGGCCACTCTGCTGCCCACCAGACCCCTCCAGGGGTTTTTCTGCAGAGCTGTCCCCCACCCACTCAATCCCACCTAGGGCTCCTTCCTTCCCTGGGGCAGGACTTTGCATTTGTCCCTGTTCAACTCCATGAGGTCCCCATGGGTCAGCCCCTTCCTTCAGCCTGGTCGTGTCCCTCTGAACAGCAGCCTGGGACTCATGGATATTGCCTCTCACCTTGGGCCCCCTTGCCACAGTTTGGGGCTGTTTACAGCTTGATATAGATGCCAAAATCTCCTCCAGGTCACTGATGAAGACATTTAACAGGGCAAATTCTAGGTCAGGCCTGCCACAACTTTACTTGCCACCAGCCTCCAGGCACTATCTCAATGGGGAATTCAACAACTGAATATAAACCTCAGAAAAGACATTAGGAGGCTGCCAACAGCCACCCACCAGGATGAACAGGAGGGTCAGGAGCTGGTGCTGGGCTCCCTCAGTTCAGGGTGGCCACAGGCCTCGGTGGCTGGACTCTGAGCCCTGGCAGCTGGTACCTCCAGAACCAGGGCTGGAGGCAGCAAGAGTCGAGAAGCTATGGCTGCAATAGGAAACACCCTCTTATGAAGCTACAAGAAATACTGCTGCTTCCTGGGGGGCTCTTCATGAAAGCAAGGTTACCATAGATGTGTGTCAAGATATCCAAGGCACAGGTCAAGCTCTCCACCATGGCACACAGAGCTCTGGGCAAAGTAGTCATGTACACATCTCTGCTTTTTAAAGCCTTGACCATCTTACCGTTTTCAAGATGACACTAACTGGTCACTAACTACTCAAACAAAGCAGACTCATTAGCTAAACACAAGTGACTCACAGTCACCATGCCAGGGAGGGGAGGCTGCCTCAAGTGATGCCTTGGAAGGGAGAGGGACCAAGAGTAGGCAGGCATCATCCTGCAGAAATGAGCATCTTTTCCCCCTTGCCACAAAGCACTGCTGTTACAATGTTCCCAGGAGGAAGAACTGCTATACATAATTAAGAGTTACATGTTCAGACAAGCACTACGCTGCAGTGTCATGCATTGTTATAGTTTTAAGAGGATGCTTGTTCAATTATTTTTTTCTTTTTTACCTCACAGAAAACTCAGGGGAGCAACTGCTCTGTCATTTAAGAAAATTAATAAAGCTCAAATTATGCTTCAAAGCTTTTTCTCTCCTCTGGATTCATGACTGCCTGGACAAGTCACCCATGGAAAGAAGTAAATCTGCTCTCCTGAAGAGGATTGTGCAAATGGCAGCAGGAGTCACATAGCTACATAGCAGTGAGTCATGGGAAGGACCAGCAAAAACACACTTGGACTTCGGCTGAGAAACAGCTGCTTCTAAGAGTAGCATGTGGCAAACACTTTACTGATGCTGTCACATTTAGGAGCATTCAAACGTGCTTCAAAAGGTAAATACACATGCTTATGCACAAGGAAGTGCAGGTGTACAAGATGTGTGCGGTATCTCAAACTGCTACGCTGTTGTGCAAAATTCAAGTAAACTGTGTAACTGCTAAAAGAAGGGCACTATATCAAAAGTACCAAGTGTAGACACTCATCCATTGCACTCAGTGGCCAAGAGCAGCTACTGCTATACCACAGCCAGTGGCCCAGCCCTGTCCCACAGGCACAGCAGTGCGTACTTGTGGATCACAAGATGAGCTGTGGTACCACAGAGAAGGTGGTAACTGGAAGAGGCAAGATGGCTGTTAAGTTAAAACATGCTTACAGGAAGGCAGGTTGCCAGTGTAGTAGTTTTGCAGCTTCAAACAGGGTAAGGTTTGTTTAATTTACTGCTCACAACTCGAGAATGAGATAACTGGGGAGCACTTCAATGCATGCACTGTCTGATGAACTAGTTTATGAATGGGCTGAGCATGCTAAAGAAAAAAGTCCTGAGAATATGAAAAGTAAAACTCCTGCAGCTGCACATCCTTCACACCTCTCCCCAACCTGTGTCCCCTGGACATCCGTGCCCCCCAAGCCCTCAGGGCCTGCAGTGGCTGCACAGGGAAGGCAACATCAGGTTCAAGGGCATTCAGGCTAACACCGAGTGCACCAAAACAAACACCAGCTCCTGCGCACAGGCCAGCGGGTACAATTACTGCAGGTATCAGTAATGCACCGTCTGGAACAGAGCTCAGGTTGAACATGTAATGAAAGCAGGGATTGGACTGAGTAGCGTGGCAGCACGGACACAAACCTGCACAACCGACCAGCAACCGATCCATCCCGCAGCCCCGAGCCGGCCAAGTCCCACAGGGAGCGGGAGCCCGCACGCCCCACAAAGGATGAGTCATAGTTTACACCGTCCACTTGTTTTCAGGAGCAGGAGAACATCGCTCTTCGCGAAACCCCCAGCGCGGGCGGGCTCGGCGGCGGCGGCGGGAGGCGCGGCAAGAGCCGGTCCCGCCGAGGAGAGCTGCTACTCCGCGAGCGCTCCCCGCCGCCCCCCACTCCCGCGGGGCTGCGGGGCGGGCCCGGGGACACGCCCGACGGCGCGGCCGCCCCGAGCACCACCTGCACGGCGGGGAATCCGCTCCCCCCGGCCCGGCCCAGCCCCGCGGTACCGCACCGCGCCGTACCGCCCCGCACCGCGCCGCGCCGCCCCGCACCTCCTTCCTGCGGCTGGGCGCGCCCGGGCGGGTGAGGAGCGCCGTCTCCTCGCAGACCACGGCCGCGTCCTCCACGAAGACGCAGTCGGGGAGGCTCTCGTCGGCCGGCAGCTCCAGCACCTGCAGCCCCAGCTTGCCCCGCAGCACGCCCACGTACAGCTGGTGCTCCCGCTCCGCGCGGGCGAAGTCCACCTCGGGGCCCGCCGTGCTGCGCAGCGCCTGCCGGCACAGCGACTCGGGCAGCGCCCGCACCACGGCGTGCGTGCAGCGCCCGAAGGCGGCAGGGCCGCCGCCCAGCCCGGCCATGCTGCGCGGCGCGGCGGAGCGATGGAAGGATGGAGGGATGGGATGGAGGGATGGGATGGATGAAGGGAGGGACGGGGGACGGGCGGCCGCCGCCGGCCCTGGCAGCTGATAAAGCACCGCCCGCGGCCCGGCCGCGCCCCATTGGCTCCCCACCAGGCACATTTCCATGGGGCCGCCGCCGAGCGCGCTCCCATTGGCTGGCGGCGCCGGCCGGGCCGCGCCATTGGCCGCCCCCCGCAGGGCGCCGCTTACCTGTGCGGCGGGCGGGAGCGGCGGCGCCGCCCGCGCAGCGCCGGGGGCCGGGCCCAGCCCTCAGCAGCAGCAGCAGCAGCAGCAGCAGCAGCAGCGCGGCCCGGGCCTGCGGGGGGCCCGACCCGACCCTCCGTGGGACGGCCCCGGCATTGCCCCAGGCGTTGGGGCTGCCCCTTCCTGCCGTGGGGCTCCGCTACCACAGCGTGGCTTGAGGGACAGCGTGGTTTCACGTAGTAATTTCACGTAGTTACGTATCAACACATAACTGCCCTGGCAGAATTCGAACACCTGCGTCCCTCCGCGCTCCTGCGCTCATTCAAGCTGTGCGTGGGCAGGGGAGAAGACTGCTTATCCTTCCTGCTCGAGGATGCGGCGGGCTGGCCGCCCACTGCTTCCCTGGCAGCAGAGCGGGAGGCCAGGCCGGTTATCTGTGTGGCCCAAGGAAGGATGTCCCATGGCGAAGGCAGTTCCAAATGCAAATCCAAAGGAAATAAGGCCAGCCACTCCCTAATCTCCGGCTGTGGCTTTCTAGAGGGGCACCTACCAGCGGAGAGTGTCCACTGTCTTCCACTCCTTTACGCTGTCAAAGTTTCCACCACCGCAGAGTAGAAGGGTCACCAGCATTTTGTTCCACCTCTGCCTCAGGGACTGAAACAATGAGTGTTTTCCACCTTTTCCCCTAAAATAAACCCTTACTTCCCCATGTTTTGTTTTCCCCAGGTTTGATCCCAATTCAAGGTTATCTGGGACGAGGGCCAGCCCTTTCTAGCGCACACCTCTGGCTGCCAGGCAGGAGGCAACCGAGGCTTTGGGCTGGAGCTCGCGCCATCGCCGACCTCTGCAGCACCAGGCCCTGGGCCACGCCGCTCCCTCTGCCGCCCTCCCTGGTACCTCTGAGGTGCCTCCTCACCAGCGCAGATGGGAAGAGGAGAGGAATATGAATTTTCCTTTCAGCTCTTCTTTTACTGGCAGGGCTCTTTCAAGTGTCCCTCTGGTCACGGCGGGGACCCCAGCGGTGCGCAGCTCCATGTCCCCCTTTGGTGCTCAGAGGAAACCCAGGCAGTTGCCTTGGCTGTGTGGTCACGGACACTGGCACATATGCAGCATTTGGGAATATGGTTTATAAGTAGCATGAAGGAAATATTAAAGCGTGTTTTCAAAATGGCAGCTGACTAGATTTTAATCTGCATTTTCCACACATTCTCCAAATACCCTGTAAAGGCTGCCTTCACTTAACGTGCATAGGCGCAGTTATTTGAATAGCTGTCATTCACTGAATAATGTGAACATATGAGTCTCTTCTTAAACAAATGCACAGGAAATTGAGTTTCTATCACGTAGGACATTTAAAATTCTTGAGAAACGATTACAAATGGTATTATAACGTCTCTGGTATAATATGTGGTCCTTCCACAGTCATTGAAGCCTATTTTTACTTATTACGGATTTGGGATGTGACCATTGACACACTCTGGTTTGCTTTTTGTTACTGTGACTTTTAGCCAGAAGAAAATGTGCTACTGTCTTGTAATTGAAAAAAAAAAAAAAATGCCAGGGTTCCTACATGAAAAGGCACTGAAAATAGTTGTTCTTGCAGGCAATGGATTGGAAAGTTCTAGTCAAGACGGATTTTTTTTGGCATCCATAAATACCTTATGAATTCATAAATGCTGACAATTTTTAGACTTCACTGAGATTACAGGAATATGAGATATGAGGTGATGCCACACAGTTGCCTTGTACGCACATCATCTGCTGGAACAGTGAGGTTTGCCCTGGAGGTATTGTCACTGGCCCAGGCTGACCTTAGGTGGCCATGGCTGCTCCCTGGGAGCTGGCCAGGTGTCACTTCTGACAGCTTCTCAAAACCTTTCCATCTAATGGGAGACAAGGCTGAAGGAAGGAAAATCTCTTTATGACATGCAGTGGTATGAGATAGCATTATGCTAGGAATACAATGTGGCTTGGGAATACAAAACGTTAGCTATTTAGACAAGGTTACAGAAGTAATGACTACAGTTAAAAAAAAAAAAATCTGTATTTCCATAAATGTATAAAACAGCGCAGTTTAAATACAAATTAAGATCTGTTTGCTGACTGTGATTGTACTATTATTTATGTTGAACAGAAAGACATCATTAACAATCTAGGAACAGATCCACCCAGAGCAAAATTGTGCGTACTTATAATAAGATTAACAAAATATCAGTTTACTCACAAATTAACATTACATAATAGAATGTGTTCATACAGTCTTCCGGGAGTGATGTTAACATTCATCTTATACAGTAATACAAAATGGGTCAGCTATAGTCATCATACAGATATAGTATTTATTGTCTACCTTGCTCTAAATCCTGTATTTTCCCGTAGTCTTGTCCTGCTAGAGACACCAGTGCAAAAGAGCAAAGCTGCCCCCCGGCAAAGAAAAAAGCTGTGTCACAGTATGGAATTCATGCAGAATGATGAAAACTGCTTGTAACAGAAGATAGACTGCAGGCCACTTAAACAGTATCACAGAAAGCTGTATTTAGAAAGAAGAAAATGCTTCATACAGAAAAGGATGCAGATCCAGGTGTTGTGTGACTGACACTACACAGAGTCATCTGCTGGCAGTGACAGTGAGAAGAAAATTGCTTTGCAAAATGTACTTGAGGATGCATATGTGAATAGCACATTTGCTTTCAGGAGAAAGGAATAGATACTGAAACAGGAGATACGGTTTAAAAGTTATGACAGAAAAATCATCAATACACATAGTGAAATTTCATCCATTTGGCAAAATCACTAGCAGCATATTGATAAGATTTCATTTTGTTTATGGCTGTGACTTGAGAACAGTCTGCAGCTGTGTAAAAAGCTGCCAGAAAGATGAAGGGAACAATTTCCACAAGGTAGAAGGCAAGCAACAGACTTAAATTAGTTCAAGGAAAAGTATGGAAAACTTTCTGACAGTAAGGAGCAGAGAAAAAGATTGCTTGGGGAAGAATGTGCAGCCACTATACCAAGTATTTTTAAGAAGAAGTTTAAAAAATATCTGCCAGGAGCAGAAAGCCGGAACTGGGGAAGGATGGATGAGGAGAGGTCCATTCCAGTCCTATGATTCTATTATCATTTTTACACTGAAAATAATCGTTTTAGTGAAAACAGCTATATAATTATGAGTCTAATGTCCACAGTAGCAAATGCACAATGTTTATGTGCACCACTAGGTGACTGGAGGTCACGACTGGCCACTGCTGTTGAACCATTTCTGTGACTGTGACAAAGGAGAATTTGGATCACCGCTGAATACAAACGCATACCACACGGACTGATAGCTCAGGCACGCTAGACGGCTGCAAAATTTGAACGTGCTTCCCATGGCTTGCAGATTCTGGAGCAGCACCACTGACTCTAAAACCTCAGTGGGCATCTCACACTATTAATGAAATGTTACTTGAAACTTGAGACAGTGAAAAGCCAGGACAAGATAGCAACTGAGCTATTCAGTCACCAGCATGTCCCACTATGTCAATGGGAATCTGTACCAGAAAGATGGAGAGACACTGAATTTCACTTTTTAAAAGGAATACAGGTTTAAGCAATTTTTTCAGCTCAATAGGAAACCGTGCAACTACTGGACAGCCAAATGTCATCATTAATAGAAGCAAACACCGTTCTGCAGGAAAAGCTGCCATTATGATCAACGGGTCATTCTCTTATTGAAGGTACAGGATCAGGTCTTAAGTCACAGCCATAGAAGAGAAAAATATTACTTTAATCATGCTTTAGATACACAAAAAGCTACACAGAGAGGTTTTCACCCAGATAGCTGACAGAATGTTTCAATTTCTGCTCTACTACTGTAATACAAAAAACCACAGTGATTCAGTGAAGCAATACTTTTACTAAATAATTAAGTGTCTGGGCTCCTCATTTAGAGGAGCTAAAGACATTAGGCAACAAGTCACTTCACCCCACTGCATGGAGAAGCTCCCAAGTGTTTTTGCATTTTCCAAATGCTGAACAGATTTAGCTCGCCATCTATTCTTTATGTAACAGATCACTTCTGGAAGAGGAGACCAACCTCTTCTGGATGGCGGAAATCAATGGTGCATCTGCCAGCCTGTAGAGAAATCCTTTTGGGGAGCAGTGTTTTCCCTTGCCTGAGTTGAACCCAAGCTCTCTCACAGAGACTTAACAGGGTCAGATTAATTCTATATATAGCTGGTTCAGGGGAAACACAGTATTTGTTTTGTCTGCTATGGGATAATGAACCGGGCGTTTTCTCAGCTGGCATTTTGCATCCTCCAGAGAAGAAGGAATTCCCATGAGCTGACAGCTACACAGTTGTTGGGAGACAAAGCTGTCAAAGGCTGATTCTTTAAAAGTCAGCTTTGGCAGCATTGTTGCCATGACACATGGCACCAAAGAGCCTGGACAACACGCAGAGGCGCAGGACATTCCTCACATTTATAGTCTTCCCACGTGTTTTGTTACAATAGGTTGCACTAGTACAACCAGGGTCAACTTTTGGATTCACTTGGCTGAACAAACAGATCACTGGGGAGAGAGCTGCAGGACTATTTACCTCCTGTGCTCCTATGTCCTTGCCTTCACCATGTCTTACACCCACTTCTGCCCTTCTTTCTCTGCAGGGGAAAAGTTACTTGTTGAATTTTTAAAAAAACATGGGTTAGATACCACGGGTTCAGATGACCACAACTGAAAAACGAGATTAGTACTCTGGACATTTATGTTGAATTACAATAGCTGACATCTCTCTTACAGAAAAGAATAGAAAGACACCGTTTGTTTTTCTGATAGACATACTTCCCAGAAATATACCAGGAATACTACACCAGCCAGGAGAGAAAAAGGAAACAGGGCTAGGATAAGTGCTTTGTAAATTGTTCTTGTTGTGGCTGCCCTGGGAAGAATAAATAAGACTTTTCCAGCTATCAGACAGCATTTTTAGTAAAGTATGATATGTTATCAGCTTGGCAAGAAAGCGTCAGCTCCAGCAGTTGAAGGGGGATATCTCATGCACTTGCACAGCTATTGTTCAGTGGGGCTCATGAATCCAAAACCTGCTGCTGTGAGATGCTGCAGGTGTCCCCGTGGGCAGCACAAAAAGGCTGCCTGTGGGAAGGGTGGGATGAATTCTTTGGTGTCAGTTTGGGCTGAAATAGAGTTAATATTCCTTTTCAGGGATTAGATGAGTGCTGTGTTTTGGATTTAGCTTTGGGTTTGGTATGGGAAAAAATGCTGATAGCACACTGGTGTTTTCAGCTGCTACCGAGACTTCAAGGACTCTCTGACTCTCCATGTCCTGCCCGTGCGCAAGGGCACAGGGAGCAGGGAGGGAGCACAGCCACAGCACCTGACCCTAACTGGCCAGTGAAATATTCCATATCATGGAACATCATGCTCACTATATACAGGAGGGATGGTTGGGAAGGAGCTCTCTCTCTCTCTCTCTCTCGCTTCCGGGATTGCGATTGCGGGATCTTGGTATCTCGGGGTCGCTGGCCGGGAACGGGCTGGGGATTGGTTAGTGGGTGGTGAGCAATTACGCTGTACATTGCCTGTTTATATATTTCTTTCTGTTTTCCCCCTATCATCGTTATTGTTTTCATTTTATTGCCATTATTAAACTGTTCTTATCTCAGCCTGCGAGTCTCCCTTCACCCCTCTACTTCCCTCCCCCATTCCCAGGCGGGGAGGGGGAAGGGAGGGTGATTAGCTGCGGGGGTTGGTTGCCGATCAGGCCCAAACCACAACATTTGGTAAATCATGGCTGCTAATGTGGGCTGCACTGATATAAGAGGAATAATGTCCGTGCTGTTTTTTTTCTCCCCTTCAAGTCTTCCACCAAAAGTATACCTTTATTCCCTAAAAAAGCAAAAGCTTAAAAATGCTGATTGAGGCAGGTTAACGTTTTCCAAAGGACCCAAGCCCTTGGCAATGTAAATTCAGTTGCTTTTTAATGTTTATCCTAACTTTCCATTTACCTTTTCTATGGAGCCAGCTGACCAGTTGGCAGCACCCCGCAGGTGTAGCAGGCTGTCCTTCCCTTTCATTGCCTGAAAAGCCCTTGCAAGCTCAGCAGTAAGATGCAATGACATTTGGCTGTAGCATTTCTCGCTTTTCTTAGTTTGCTGTCCCATTCCTTCCAGGAGCCAGCTGCATGAGAATGAATTCCCAGCCTTGCTTATTGCATCTTTTGCCTTGATTTGTACATGCTTGGTGCATTTGTGGTGTTGGCTTGGTCAATAACTTGCAATGCAACTATGAAACTGCATGTTCACGACAAACTTGTTAAAGTGGAATTAGCTTTTGTATCCACAAGAAAGAGAATATGGAGAGAGAGAGAGAGATATACACACATCTATATGTGTACGTGTATGCACACGAGTTAACAACTCTGTGACTTCCCTTGCGTGCCTGCAAAGGGCAAGCAGTTCTTTTGCCAGCTTCATTGGCACAAATCTTTGTGCTAAACAGCCAGATAAATACATCACAAATCAAGATAAGAATGTGAAAGATTTCCAATAGGCTTTTTTAGTGAGTTTATTAATATGCTGTCCTAAGTGTCAGAGTTAAGAAGCTATAAAACATTGAAAGATACGTAGATTAGCTGCAGTATTAATGTATCCAGGCTGGTGGCAATAACTCTTGCTGTAGCTCATCACAGAATAGATGTGAAATGATCTTTTCTTCTTCAAAGGGAAATGTTCAATAGCTGTTTTCCCCTCCATAGGGGAACAACGGGTAGGTACTTCCACAGGAAGCAGGTAGTATTCAGGGAGTGACACTGGTTGGAAGGCTTGAGGAGGCAGCAGGTGATCAGTTTGTTCCTTTTGAATTTGTGCTGCTTCTTATCACTTAACCTAGAGGTTTCTGGATGCCCCTAACTCACCAGCTGAAAAAGAATGGAGAAATGGAGCAGTTAAGGTTCAGTTCAGAAGGAGACAGAACTCCTACTCCCCACAGTTGCCCTCACAAGTAGTACCACCACACACGATGGGGACTGGAGGCAGCACAGAGAGCACTGCCTTCAGCAGAAAAACCAGCAGGAGATGAGGCACCCTTGATACCACTTAACATTTGATTCTGAGTGAGTGATGAGCTGAAGCATCTGTGGGACTTCAAGGTCAGTTTTCTGAATGTCAATAAGAAGATCAGAGCCTATCTCTGGGTATTCGGTGTTAGGATCATGTACACCTGTAGACCAAAAACTTCCTGATGTCCAGTTCAAACCTCTCAAGGCACAACTTCTGCCTGATTTATCCTCTGCATCTATTGAGAATTTGCCTCCATTGTGTTTGTAACTGCCTTTCAAGTACCCACAGGTTGCTATCAGTTCCTCCTTAGCCTTCTCTTTTCCAAATCAAACAAGCCTAGCTCCCTAAATCTCCTCTTCCATGTCACATGCTTCAGATTCTTAAATTACCTTGGTATTCCTCTGAAAGGCAATCTCCAGTTTCTCAATCTCTCTCTTGACTGGGGAACCCCAGACTGGACACAGTATTCCAGGTATGGCCTCACCAGTATCAAGTAGAGGGGGATAGTAATTTCTCTGTTTGCTGGCCATGGTCCTCCTAGTGCAGCCATACTATTTGGAGACTGTGAACCTGGAGCCCACAGTAACACTCAGATCCTTTTCAGGAGGGCTTTTGGTCCATTGGTTCCTATTTTGTACAGGTCCACCCATTTGCAAATCTCTGCAGTTCTCCTTGTCAACCTTCATGAAGTTGCTGTTAGCCCAGTGCTCAGGTTTCAGAGAGTCAGAATTCTCCCACAGATCAGCACAACTCAAAATGAAGATTTCCACCTCAGCATATTCCAAACACAGAGAGCAAAAATGTAGATCAAACTGAATTCCTGATGTTAAAAAAACCAGCAACCTTCTATACATAATACAAACCCTCCTATCCTTTCACTTGATTAGTGGGAATTCTACCAAAAAATCAGCTCCTCCCATTAAGTTCTATGGAAATCACACATCTCTATTCAGCTGCAGGGAACTATGCCTAGTTACGCCAGTAAAAGATCTCACTCACCTCTTTCTGTGCTGTCTTCAAACTGACAGTTACAACTTTTTTTTTCCCAAAAAAATCCTGAGGACTTGTGATGACCTGTAAATTACTATTTGTTATGTGCTGCAGATGTTCTGCACTGATGCTCACACTTCTGTCTGATCTGTTGCTATTTGAAAATCTCTATCCTGCTACATTTGATAGCAACTTAATATTTTGTGGAAATCCAACCACTTTAATTTTAGGTAGACATACAAACACTGCCAGCCACATTACTGGGAAAGAATGAATGCTGTCTTAATAAACTGCTAAGAGAAGTCAGTTGACATAGTGAATATGCTTGCCAATAGCTCTGCTGACCATGTAAATTCAGTTCTGTTTGAAATGTGTTTGTGAAATCAAGTGAAGAGGACCAGTTATGCTTTTCACAATATAACTGCAAAGACAAAATCAGCACTGAACGCAGATAGCTCTCATATTGATTTCTCTGAAAGCAGTAACAGGAAAGTATATTTCATGCATTTTGGCAGTTCTACTTCTTACTGCTATAAATACATATAGACTACTGCCTCAAAATGCTCATATTCTTATTCCATTCCGGACCAGAGAAGAAATACCATATGGTAATGAGCACAGGAAGTGGGGATGGTAGAAATTTTATTGTGCATCTAGATAAAATATAATTATTTAATGATTACGGTCATAGTTTTACGGGATAGACAGATCTAAAGTATAATTCTCTGCACTTTAACAGATGTGTTAATGGCAGGAATGGAACTATATACTTATTTATTCTTTTCAGTTAGAAGTAATTTAAAACAACTTTTTTAATAGCAGAGGGAAAAGCATTCTTTTATTTATTTTTCACAAGAGAAAGCAATATTTTTAAAGATAACTACTGGTTTCAGACACTTTCACTTCTGGGTACTCTTCTTTCAAGGCCTGAAAGTCAAAGGTTTGGGGAAGCACCTCGGAAAAAGCAACATGTGAAGTATCCTAAGTAGGGCACACCATGAGTCATTTCTCAAAATCTTTCCAGAAACAGTGAAGATGACAAGACAGTGTCATGTGGGAAGTATTCTGTTACAAATGGTAGAACTGCTCTGCATATAAAATGAGACTATAATCCAACACTGCATAACAAAGGGGATATATCAATGGCTGCTGTATTTTAACAGCTGTCTGAGGTACCAGATGACTTTTGCTACATATATTGTCATCTCCTGATTAGAAAGGGAGATATATATATACACACACACAAAAGTTACACAGCAGTGACATCATGATTTAAAAATACTCTAATAGCACAAGATGGAATTCAAGATCTAACCAACCAACAGAAAATTTATAATTTTCCTATTTTAAATTTGGCAAGTATGAATCTAAAACTTGCCTTTTTTATCTCTACTATCTTGTCCACATATAAGGTTTGCTTTCCTCTACATGCTATTTTAATGGGATTAGTTATCAAAATCAACAGGAAATAAATCACTGTTTCCAAGAGGGCCTGTTTGAATTTGGATTTTTTTTTTTTCCTACTGCATCAAGTTAAATCTTTCTTAACCAAAGACAAACAAAAAAATCGAGATATAACTAGACAATGACCAAATTAATCCATGTTAGGCATTTATTTCCTGGTAAGTCAGAAAAAGCTGGTTTTAAAAGATAAAAATGATTAGAAAATATTACTGTTATATGATTACTTTTTAGACATTAGTCAAGAACTGCTTTCATTTTAATTTATAAGCCATCACTTAACTTTATCACACTCAATATATAGATACCTGAAGATCGATTTCACCCTATTATTGCTGTCAGTGCAGGGTCATTCTAGTAAAGTGACTCCAGATCAAAACATGAGCAAAAGGAAAACCAGCCCTGTATGCACTTATGTTTCTTCCTATTTGGTGTATGAATAATTTTTCTGGAATTGGGTACATCTATCAAATTTTACTACTGACCATTGACTATTTATTACTTTTACTGTATACTGTCCAATGCCCCTGGGGCACTATATGATGGAACTTCCTACATGAGTAAGTTGCATCTGCTGAATACTACCATCTGACTAATTATCCATTTCTCATCAGAACAGAATTCATTATTCTAACCTTTTATTTTCTTTTAATTTCAGAAAACCATACACACATGTCTACCCTGTGCAGGCATACCAATCTCCATTACATGCACAAAGTTAGAATGATTAGTTGTATAAAATCTGTTCATGCCTAATGATGCTATTTGCATATTGTAAATTGCAGCAAGCCTGTTTTTTTTGATAGCTTTGCAATGGTAATTCTACCTCCTCTTTCTCCTCAAACTTTTTCCCCAAAATACCACTTTTTTTTTTTTTTTTTCCTAATTAAATTGCTACACTTTGTGTCTACATATGAGTTTCCTCATTGTATCTATGTTTCAAGATCATGACCTGCAGCAGCTATGTGCTCTTGGAACAATGAAACTGTCAACAACAGGGCAAAAATGTGGCATTTAGCCCATGAAATTTGGAAGCCACCCCCAAAAGAGATCATGTTGACCATGGACATCTGTGTCTTCAAAGTGAAATGCAAAATCCACTTCTTTGATCTAGTCCTCTGCTCAGTAACACCACATTTATAAACAAACATGCATCATATAAAATAAACATTGCTTTGCTCCTGTTGAGCAGAGAGAAAATAAGGCTCCTTCTGTGCCCATTTTATTTTGGGGAGGCAACTGGACACTACAGCAAAGAGACGCTTTATGTAAGGACCTAGAGATGTGGAGATTTTCCAAAACTAACAGTACATTGTGCACTGATATGTGGTAAATGAGGCAGTTTTTACCATTAACGCCTTGCAATTCTAGCCACACATTCAACTGAGCCCCCACCTGAAATCTGCTGATGAAAGCAGCTTTAGCTTGAGCACAGCAGTGACAGGGAATGAAGATACACATCAGGCTGATGAGCACTAAGAAGTAAATTGTTTGCCCAGATGGAAATCAATAGCTTGCTTCACTCTCTTCATTCTTTGGCAAGATCAGGAGCTTTGGATGGCAATTAAAGCTTACCCAGCTGCCAAGTGTCCTAATTACACACATAAGAAATTCCACATTTCACCTTCTACCTGAAACATCCCTTGCGCCACATTCATTAAGCTCATTACAGTCGGGCCTCCTGCTGTTGTTAGCAGTGATGTATTTTTTTTAACAAAAATACCCCAAATCCTTACTTGCACCTGGCTCCACCAGTGAGCTTTCCCCCCAAAGCCCCACAGGTGCTCCACGACGGCCACCAGTCCCTGTGCCGCACAGGGATTTTTCACAAGACCCTTCCAGGCAGCATCTTCCCCCTTTCTCTCCATTTTCACCTCCCATTGAATTTGGCAGCCCACTCTCCCCTGCCAAGGGTATTTTCCAGTAATTGCTACCTTCCCGCCTACTCATTCATCAACCACTTGTTTCTTTTGCTCGCACCCAACTTCCCCGCGTCCCCTCCGGCCCGCACCCTGCCCGCTCCGGCTCTGCGCTGCCAGCCACGTTCGGAGCGGCTTTCTCAGACAGCGAGGAGCAGGACAGCCCGTGGCCAAGGAGCAAAGCTGATTAGCTGCGTGGGGGATCGTGCTCGCCAAGCCCCCACGGGTGCTGCCTCTGAACGCTCCCCTGCACGGGCAGGAAAGCGGCCGTCGAGGTGGGCACTGCTGCGTACGCCACTGAGCGCATTCAAAACAGAGCGGAGAGCAGTTTCATTCTGACATCCGTGGACTTGTCTGATTCTCTTGGAAATGAAACCCTATCTTACCTGTATTTTGTCATTACATTCTTCATCCATCCTTTGTGAACTGAAGCAGGAGTCGTTTCTAAGAAAAAAAGAGCAGATTTTACTTCCTTGGTAAGGAACAATGTAGCAAAAATTTCTCATAGAACTGTATAATCTCTTTCATTTTCCTGGCACATTTTTGGTGCTGCATAAATAAAAGTAACTAATGGACAGCTGAACTTGAGCAGTGCAAACAGTTTCCAGGAACTGCTCCTAACTGCCCTTGACCAAAATACGTGTTTTCTTCAGAAGCCTTCAATAATTCAGGTCTGAATCTAATGCAATTAGTGAAGCTGTGCAAAGCATACTGAAGAAAAAAGCCACTAAAAGCTCAGGCCTCTTATTTTATCATCATGATTATCACTTTATTATGAATTAAATTCGGAAAACCCATTAAGTACCTGTGGATCCAAGAACAAGGGCTCTAAAAAGCTCTAAAAAGACAAAGGTAAAATAGCATCCCACTTAGCCCGACAGCTCAAGACCACAATGCCCAAAACAGTGTGCTGTATAAATCACCCTGTATTTGCACAAAATGGTTAATTATCTTAATCAAGCCACAAGATTAGCTGAACAGCTTTCAACTATATTCACCAAAGAGCAAATAAGCTATGGGATACACCAAGGGAAAAAGAAAGAGTGAGAGGGAATCGTCATTCCCCTTGAGCCATCTGTAACCTTCCAATTTACATGTGAACTTCTAAGGAGGAAGAAGGTTGAAAAGAGTATTATGAACATTAAAGAGTATTAACTTGTGTTGTGCTTTTTTTTTGGTTCCTTTAACAGCTCTTTGATTCTCATTTAACCTCAGCCTTTGCTGCACTGCTCTGGAAGGGCAGAGAGGCCTTACAGGCAAGTGTCAATGAATTTACACTGCCAGAAAAGCACAACGGTGCCTTAGAGCTAATGAAAATGATGGCCATTATCAGAGAAAGAAAAAATACTGAACAGCCAGTACTGTCATTAATACCAAGAAATAGTTAAAAATTTCATTTCATCTCAATGCATTACAGTTCACCAATAAGTGCCATATACATTCTCTTTTAATACAAATAATTCATATGCACATAAACTATGGCAAATAAAGCCTGATGGGAATTCTCCTTCAGGGAGAAAAAGACCATCTGTCCTTCATCAGCCAGGCACAAAAGGGTTGCCTTGCTATTTTATAAAAGCTGCCAGTCAATTCTAGGTGTGGGATCATCTATCACAATAGGCAACGTGCCATCTCCCACACTGGTGAAGTGCTGTGTAATTTGCAGCACTGTGAACATGGTTTGTAATTATATTTGATAGGGCCACAGGATGCAAATTACATAGTTTTTACATTTAGCTGCTACCGCAAGCTCTTGCCTGGCATTAGCTCCTAGGGGTTTTCAGTAGGAATAAGGAGAAAGAGGGGGAAAAAAGACATGTTCTGAACTTTTCATGAGACTTTATTTTCTAAAAAGAGTTTTAGGAAAAAAAAAAATCCATGTGGGACTGGCTTCTTCTTCTTCTTCTTCTTCTTCTTATCATTATTATCATTATTATCATTATTATCATTATTATCATTATTGTTTTGTTGTCAGTTCAGTTGGACAACATCCCACTTGGACTAGCAAGAGAAGAAAAAAGACACAATTTTAAATGTTCTTTTTCTTTTTTCCTTTTTTTTTAAATCCAAGGCTGGCAGTATCTGTATAGGTATGTCACAGCAAGACCAATTTTATTCTCCTATTTGCAATGATTTGTAAGCACAGCTGTCAGGTAATATTCTGGTCTGGAAACCAGCTCCATACAAATGATAGCTTATAACCTGTTCTGTACGTGTTGGGTACAATACTTGGACATACTTGCTGACTATCATGACAGATATTCTCCAGGACACAAAGCAAGAAGGCCCCTTCTGCAGGGACCTTAACGATGGAATCTGAGGAGACAGATCTTAATCACAGCACATGAGCACATACTCCGTGATTCCCTGGGATTTACGGTCATTAAGGAACCGGAGGTTGAAACGGCGGCACAGCAAGGCCATCCTCGAACACTGATCCCAGGGAAATGCTGGATGATTGAAGATTAGCAACTATTTAATCCATTTTGGCCTGGAAAGAATTTAAGAAGAATGAGAAGCTTGAATCAAAACTTGAGTAAGCCTGAAGCTATTCTGACATGTTTGTGAACTAAATTCCCTCCCAACACTTTTCTATTATTTCTGTTCTTGGATCATCATTCTTTGCATGCTGGGAGCAACAATGCCTTTTATTGTAGCCTGCCCCATTTTCCTCTTGCACACAAAGGGAAAGCTCCCTCGGTGAATGCCAGAGGCAAATACTGCTTTCTCAAAAAGTTACATGGAGAAGTATGCTATGGCTTTTGTTTGCATACTGTAATCTTCAGTCGCACTGAGAGCAGGCTGAGTCATTCATAAATATGGCCTTTGGACTTTAAAGGTCAGCTATGCTTTTCATAATAAAAACCTGTTAACACAGAATCATCCTGGCAAACCCAAACATCAGTTTTAAGTAATGTATCACAAATGACCCACCATGATAAACACTCCACCCATAAACTGCTACTCTGCAGCCTGCATCAAGCAATACAAAACCAGAAAAAAGTGATGGAGATAAAAAGGTCTTAGAAAGGTCTAGGAAAATCTGTGATGTTTTTCACATACCATAGCTCAGTGAAGAAGTTTACAGAAGTGCCTGACACAGCTGAATATGTGAATATGTAGACTTCTGAAACAGGAGGCCAGCTTTGGAAAGAAGCAGCGACGTGCAAAGGATCAGCTCATGAATGAGAAGCCTTGCAGTGAAAAGACAAGGGCCAGTTGTAAATAAGAGAATAACATTTGAGACAGAGAAGAGAAGCACGAGCTATTTTCCAAACATAATGAAAAATTCAAACTCTTTCAGGGGCTTAAGGGTATTTAAATGGAAATGCACTTCCTTCACTCAACCCAGAATCAAGAACTGCTTAGAAATTGTTGAATTATTTTCTGTTGAGTAATCATAACTTTTGAGCATCCAGAGTAGTCTCTGACAAAGACCTGTGAGCACGGTGTCTGGGTGTGCATAGGATCGTCGCCTATTAAATAAAGTGGATGTCTATTCTAAATAATGTAGCACCTTCACAGCTGGGTTTTGTGTGCATCCATCTGGTTGAGACCAATTCCCTTACACATGTGCCCAAACCCCAGCACTCACTGTAAACTTGTTATTTTTATGAAAATAAGTTAGAAATACGTAGAAAGAGTAGCATGGGGTTGCTTCCGTATGAGAGCCATAGTATATTTTAAAATTTATGACTGGATTTGGAGCTGATGAAAGGCTAGAGGTTGACAGACAGAAACCGAAGTCTGCTAAGCTCACACGAGCGGCAGCAGGAAGCAGCTGTGCCCACCCCTCATGCCGTGCTTGGGCCCCAGCCCCAGCCACCTCCCCGACGGCCTCGTCCCTCCCCAGCCAGGCCCCAGCTCAGTGTCAATTGTCACGGAGTTGTCTGTGTCCTGGAGGGTTTCCCACTGAGGTGGCAGGAGTGAGAGTAGGTAGGCAACGCTGAGCTGCGCAGAGCACTCACGTACGACGGACTGAATCCTCACCTTCCTCCTAAGCCCCTTCCACCCACCCCATTCGTGTCAGCACTGCCACCACCTCTCCTTCCACTCAGATAACTTTGGAGGACTCCATTTCCTTACCCCTTCTGTCCTCCCAAAATGTGTCTAAGTGTTGATATTTCTTTCTTTAGAACTCCATTGAGAAGTCCGGGCTGACCTGGCCGTGACTGCAGCATGGTGTCCTTTCAGCCACCCTGCCACTCAGCCATTCCACCGCACTGGCTTATAATGTTGCTTTTGAAGTTGCCCAACCCTGGGATACCTCAAAACTGTAGCTCCTTATGGTCCTTTATCAGGTTTGGGCTTCTTAGAGCAAGCCCAAAGCTGGTGAGAGCCACTCTAGATCTCTCTGGTCTCAGTATAAAAGTTTTAACCATCTGCAGATCTACTCTTTGCTCCTCCTTTGAAAATCCAGCCCTGGTCTCATCAGACTCTAATACCATCTCTTATACACACATCCCTGGTGCTCCTTTCAGGCTCACCCAGACTGATGTTTTCTTCTGTTTCTTCTGCACCACCACTCCATAAGGAGTTTTGCTAATTCAGCTCAGCCTACCACATCTCGTCTTTTAAATCCCTCCTCAAACTCACTCTTGCCAGTCTGCTCACAACGCAAACAAAGTAATGCCCAATTATTTGCATTAGCTTCTCAAGAAGTTACATCACACTGCGATATAACTTAACCCATCTCCTGGGTACATGCTGGCAGGGCTGCCAAAGGAGCTGGCCGGGGGATGGAACAAGTTCCTGCACACGTGGGAAGGCTGAGGAGGAACAAAACACTTTCCCCAGCTGCCCTCCTCAGATGGTGGCCACCACAGTCCCCATCCAAAGCCAGGGCCCAGACACCAAAACTGCTATCTGTGGCTCTGGCCCCTGCTCTCTATCCCCACCTCTGTCAGAAACACTCAACTCTTAGTCTTGCTTAAATTTGGATTATTAAACACATATTTACTTGTGCTGATTAGGAACAACACTATTCCTATGCCCAGTTAATTCTGCAGAGCGTGATTAGCAGAATGTGTCATTTCAGCTGACTGACGCTTGGACCAACTTAAAAACACAAAGCTGGAAGCCTTCAAGTGAGCATGTGAAGATGGAAAATGAAACAAGAAATTATACACATTTTGAAATAGTCTACTGCAGATATCTAAATACTGAAATGCCTCACACCATACTGCTGCTCTGTTTCTACATCCAAAAAGGCACCAGAGCTATTGTCACGGTTTCTACATTTGGGAGCTCGTTAAAGTTTGCTCTCGTAACCTCTGCAGGTTATAAAAAGGCTTATCCATAGTGAAATGTGTATTTAATTTGTATTTAAATTCATTTTTGGAAACTAGACCCAGTCTTATTTTATACAGAGTGCAAAGGCTTATGGCTGACATTTTCCTAAGCTTCAAATTGTACTCCAATGAACCAAGATCTTATTTTAATTTGCTTATAAGGATTTCTGCCAGTAAGTGGCTGTAATGTGTTACTTTATTTGCAATTACTGTCTTGAAAAACAATGTATCAAATATAGCACTTACAGAGCCTGTTTTCTGGTATCGGAGCAGTAGTGAGGAGCTGTGCTGATGATGCCTGAATGCATTTATGAGACAAACTGTCACGAAGATGGAGAATGTGGGCAGAGGTACCAGCGGAAGGAAGGTGAGCGAGGCTGGGCGGGCAGAGGGCTCAGCGTCCGCGGCCACACCATCGGGTAGCTCTGGCTAGAGTTCTGTAAGACACGTATTGCCTCAGTAATGGAGAACAAGACGAGCATCCCAATCAGGCAACAAATGAGCTGAAAATGGAAAACAACAACTGGATACAAATAAAATCTATAAATGCATGCTGTAAAGCCAAGCAGAGAGGTACTCATACCATTCAGAGACCCAATCTAGTCAATCAGACCCAGACTAGAAACTCTTCTGAAGGCATAGGTGTGTCTATACTTCAACACACCAAAGAAAAAACTGATTTAGGGGATCACCTAAGTGTTTGTATCTTCAAGCAGTTTTTTTCACTTGCAAAGCAAGGATGATTGATAGCCTAAGGATATGTCATTCCCTGCAGAGAAAAACTGAGTGTAGGGAGAGTGGATGTTGTGGGTTCTTTCCCCTTTCTGCCTTGAGCCTGCGCAGCCCGCTGTGGGCAGGCTCAGGATATGAACCAGGGGAGACTTTCCTAGAACTGAGAAGGAAGGCGAGGATAAAATAAGACGTGAAAGAAAAACTTCAGGGACAGGGTGGGGCAGTGGGGGTATGTTTCAGATGCCAGTAGGAGAAGCGGGTTTAGGGATAGCTACCTTCTCCAGCGTTAATATCTCTGCAAGAATCTGACCTGAAACACAAAGTTCAGCATTGCACTAATGCGTTTTCTTGGTGTTTGGGTTTAGGGAGGAAAGAAGTTAAATCCATTTATGCAACAGAGACAAGGGCTTTAGCTGGGACAGCCTTCCCACCCCTCCTGCCCAGTGCCCAGGCAGTCACCTCACAGTTCAGTACACGTGCAGGTACAGGATGGAACTTGTTTTTAAAAGTCAGATGTCAAAAGGACACCTTTTTTTTAACTCCAAAAATGGAAAACTCCTTGTGCTGGAATCAAATAATTGAAAAGTTGCTGAAACAAGAGAGTAACAGTTAATCCTGCCCAAAGGGTAGATCTAAATTCTCCCTGGAAAGGCTACTGCATGTGGGATTATATATAGTGGTTAACCAAATATTCAAGGGACATTAGTAATTACCATAACATCCCACCACTTACTCTGTCAAATGCACAATTTATGAAACAAGCCCACAACTTCAAAAGGAATTTGTTTTCTTGAAAAATAGTTGGAAATACAGTTCCAACCCACAGTTTTTTCCCCAGTACCTTCCTGTCCCCACCTCAAAAAATGCCTGAAAGGCTTCTAGGTGTTTTGTGCAAATACCTTTCCCAGTGAAGTTTCCCCCAGTGCCGTTTGTTTCTAATGCATGGCGTGTCAGGGCACACAGCTCCTTCATTTCCCCGCTCTCCTGGCAGAGGTGTGCAATGGCTGCTCCCAACACCAGCCCCCAGGTGCAGAGCCCTCCTGCTGCCCCACGCACCCACCGCAGGGGATCCCCCATCAGCTTTCACACTCATCAGAGCATGGATGAGGGCTGCAAAGAAGGTGGCTGCACAGTGATCAACCTGTACACTGCTATTTCTTAAAATCTAAGACTGATAAAAAAATACACTACTAGAAGCAGAAATACACCTGGGAATTGTAGACAGGTGTCAGAGGCCAACAGTTCCCACCACTCTGCAGCACCAGCACCCTGGGCACCAGAGGTACACTGGGGAGCAGTTCACACTCCTCTTAGCTGCTTTTCTCCCGACTCGAAACAAGCTGCAGCCCCTGCCCCTGGGGAGCAGATCCGGCCCCCAGGAGGGCAGGCAGCTCATCCACTGGGAGCCAGCAGCTGTCAGTGGGAAACCTCCCAGACCTTACCATTCCATGCTGAGCTGAGTTAGGACCCTAAAAATAAGAGTGGCCTGATTCCAGCCCCTGTGCTCTTTGATCTGCCGGCCCTAACACTGCGGTGACCCACGGCTTCTGGAGCACTTTGACAGCCAGGTCGGTGGCCTGCCTGGGCTTGTTGTAACCTGTAGCCCCATCATTTCAGTGATGTGCCAATTGAAAGCTTACTCTTTAAATCTGATACGTGTTTTGGTCTTACCTATCCTCTAGGCACACCAAATGCTTTTAGGGACAAGAGACCTAATAACGTCATGTTTGTATAGCAGCACTTTGGTTCTGATGGGATTTATTTAAGACTGTGGAATATTTATAGTTAAATGGAACTGAGCAATGGAATAAAAATAGACTTCATAAATTAAGCATATGCTATTAACTGACTTGGTACCAGTAACCAAGAAAGAAGTGGTGCTTGGTAATGTAATTTTGCCTGATCAGCCTAGCTTAATAAACATGCTGAGCAGAACTTAACTTGTCTTCTGAGCTTGTGCTCACTGCTTTCACCAGGAGATGGAATGAGGTTCACAATCCCCGCCTTTCCCCAGCACAGGTGCAGAGCTAGCTGCTCCTCGCTGGCAGGACCGGACCTCGGCAGCACTGGAGGCAGGTCCTGCGCCCCGTCCCCGGGCACGCCAGCACCCACAGAGCCCTCCTGGGCACCCCCCCTCCGCCCCACTTCCCGCTTCATTCTGCCTCTGACCCCCATGGCTTTGCAGCTGAGCCTGCGTGGGCAGAGACTCATTACTAAGCCTTACAAGGTTATTTAAAAAAAAAAAAAAGATCTTGCAGAGATATGGGAACTGAAAGCCCCACTTTGTTCATATTTGTCTTCCCTGGGCTGTGTGCATGCCAAAGGGCTATCATCTTGCTTCCCGGCTGAAATAGAAATTCAGTAATGCATACTTGGGGAGCTCTGTCACTGCAGTAATCACTTAATAGTGACAAATAAGCCAGAGAATAAAACAAACAGATGGAAAATGGTCATCCCCATCCATGGACACCTGCTCTGTGATACAGTCTGTAATGATCTATATACACTTCAGAGACAAAATTACTTTACCACATGTTGGAGAGTATCTGTTCAGAACTGGGAATGAGTTACAGGAAAGACATAATGGGTACTAAAAATGGCATCAAATCAACAGTCTAAGAAGTACCTAGTTGTAGTTTTGAAAATAACAGATTATCTCATTCACAAAAAAGCTCCTGAATTGGGAAACAAAACAAGGATAAAAATACCCATTAAAGAAAACCCATACGAGCTCCAGCACTATTCACCCCCAGGATGAGTCACTGACACCATAAGCTTCCAGGGCTTTTTCAAATGTGGGTTACCAAACCTGATTTTGTTCAAGAGAGGCATTCCTCTGATTATGAGCAAGGTGGACCCTTCATACATTTAATTTCCAGGGTCAGGCCTTAAGGCATTTAAGCAGAATTTAAGAATTTTAAAGATTTTTAAGGTTTCTGAAGCCCATACTGAATTTGGAAAACCTACATGCTCAATACCTCCAAAAGGCAAGGCCAACCTGATTGTATGCTGAAACAAGATTTTAGGAGCATAATAATAGTGGCAAGCATCCCAGCCTGAGTATGGTTTACAGTAAAAAAGAAGAACCTTTGCAAGAAGACCTTGTATCTGTTCTCTCAACTAAATTAGCTTTATTAGATTTTTTCGGGAAGTAGAGAAATGATGCAAAGAATATGTCTCTATTCAACAGCACTCTCCCAGAAAAAGTTTCCAGTCTCCATCCTTCTACCAGAATGTATTTTCATTCCTGCATTTTAAGAGTATCTCAAAATGCATATAGCCAGAGCACTCTTATGTAATAATGACGTGGCCTCATGCTATGAAGTCACTATCTGGTAAAATTTCAGATGTTTCAGTACAAAAGTATTTTAAGACTGGGTTTGCTGGTCTTTATTTGTAGGAAGGCCAGGTTTAGGTTTCCACAAACTGAGTAGAAAGAATTCTCTTTCCCCACTCTACCCCTTCCCTCTTGGGTTCAATGAGAAGCAGAGTAGGTCCCAAATACACATTCATTCATTACCTTGTCTTCCTGAGTGCATATAAATATGTTAAAATAGCTCACTAGCTTTGCCCCTCAGATAAAAAGCCTAAGCAGCTGATATAATGTGACAATTAACTTATTAGGACATCAATACTTTTGCACAAACATAACAGGTATTATTGCAGCTCTGGACTTTGAATTGAATCCTTGATGTCCAACAACGTTTTTGGTAAACTTAATAATGGGAAGGAAACAAAAGCAGAGGTAAACATGGAAAGAAAATTGAAAGCAAGTGGGCTGAATTTTGGTGGCAATTACATAAAACAAATGTGAGCACACAGAATATATATAAAAGCCTTATTGCATGCTTTAACAGCAGTTATATACCATCATTCCAAAAATAACTTTCCCGGCAAAAAAAAATATATCCACAGGAGGAACAGAAGACTGTTATATAAAGGGAATCAGGGTCAAAAAAGAAGGTCCAGGAACAGTGATCTATTCACAAACCCTGAATTACTTCACCCCTTTCATGGAAAAATACAGGGCAAGTGTAGGCTTTCTCGCTTCATGTGGTTACAACTATAAATACATCTTCTGCTGACCTGCAGGTATTGACTGATGCCAGGCAGACTAAGGGGGAATTCTTGCCAGACTTTTGCTCCTTTTTTTGATAACAGGTACGTGTCCACAGCCCTTAGCCACAGCATGGTTCAAAAATTACTTTGAGACTCTTACCAGTGAGGGTGGCTATTTTTATAATCCACTTGTCTAGATCTGTGGGATTTTCCCCATTAGATAATTACTATTTTAAGATTAACTTGTCAGCCAACACGAGCCAGAAAGATGAGATCCAAACTTTGCACTGTTTGTATCACCATCTTGAGTCAGTAATTGGTAATGCCATAAAACAACTCATTTTAGGCATCTGAGCCACGTAAGCAACCTTCGGCCAAACTAGCACTGCGAGTAGACCTGGCCCAAATGGAAAACCATTCAGTGTGTTGCAGATGCTGCCCACTGCTATTTGGCAGGGAAAGCCAATTAACCCTGTATCAAGATGCAGACAGTATTCTTTCTAACCTCCTGTATCAGCCACAGGGTCATCGAGAGCTTGGCATCGTACCACTTGACTTACCTTTGCTTGCAAAGTGCGTCCTGACAGACGAATGTCCCTGTGCTGCTGGACATTACTCAAGCTTTGAGCAATGCAGATTGTGAAAG